CATGACAGTAATTCTACCTCAAAAACAAACGTGTGAATACCAATTAATTTAAAGCCCACCATAGCAGGTAGGACTAAATAAGGTTTCTAGCTATACTAGTGATCTGCTGTTCAGAGGGTAACAAACAGATCAATGTCTTTCCGCAGTAAAGTAAGCACACTGACTCGAGAGGATGCTAATCAGTCCATCTCTGAAACCTCTCAAAAAGCCATACCAAAATAAAACAGCTAGCTCTGGTAGCTACAGGTCAAGTAGTTAATTGAAGTAGGCTACCCACCCCTCACCCACAAACAAACTTGATCAAGAACGCCTAGCTTCCCTTATTGTATGGGACACTTTTAAATGTTCCTCAATACTAATCTTTAAAACAAAAGAAATGTAGGTCAAAATAGTTCATATTAACAAAGGAAATTGAGGGCCTAACAATACAGATAAATAGCAATAAAAAACAGTACCATAGAGGCACAGAATAAGTTAGAGGAAAAGCTAAAATAATTTACTGAAACTTGTTACAAATGACAGTCACCCACGATGAACCAATCTATACTTTGAAAGAGGAAGCAAAGTACTTTTAGCATATGTGTTCATTTCAGTCTCCTCCATCTCCACTAACTGAAGTTAATTGTAAGGATTTTCTTTTCTATTAATCATGTAAAATTCACAGCTGTACAGAAAGACCCATGTGAAGGTCAAAATACAAGGAACTTCTTGATGCAATTAAAGCCTTTAAATCCAGGAAAACTCCAGGGCTGGATGACATACCAGTTGAGGTATACCAAACCTTTTTTTATGTACTCAGAGGACCATTATTAGCATGTTTTAACCACTCCTATAAACATGGTAGATACTCAACAAGAAGGTCTGAAACAAGTGGTAAATATAAAGATCCAGTCCATTAAAAAAATTGGAGGCACTGTATAACAGGAAGTCGGAGACATCTACATCAAAGTTGAAACCACAACCACAGGAGAGAAAACAAAACAACCTGCCATGTTGACCACATGAAGACAGGTACTCAAAAGCACTCTTCATTATTCAGAAAGGGCAGCGTAAAAATGGCATACAATACATACAGGGTAAGATGGACTCCATGTTGATTATCAAGCCATCTTTAACTGGTGCTGAACTTACTGGAGGCATACAAGGTAAATGCCTCTCGAGAACTGTCTTCAGTGATAGATGGGATACTGTGCAGAACAAAACAACATTTGGAAGACAACTACACAATTGACTGAGGTGCACAACAGCAAAATGTCTATATATTGAGTCTCAGTTCAACTATCATAACTGCTTGTCAAGTTAAGCAAAGTACAGCACCTCCAAATATAAACCTGTTTTCAAGTGTAGCATTGCTGATGAGGTCATAGGCGAGGTGTGTTACAGCCTTTACTATCAATGGTTACGGCCCCTAAATGTAATGGATTAGACATAGTTTAGGAGGACAGTACCACAGTATGAGTCATAATACCCATAAAACCTAGCAGTCAAACACAGAAATGGATCCAATAGTTTTTCACCATACATTTTCCCCATAAGGGATTTTAGAAACACTTCAAATAAGGGCTGTATTTCGTGTAGGCTTATCCTGGCGTGACATTTTGATAATTTATTTGCCTGTATTTACCCCCCAAAATTAAATGCTAATTAGCTGCTAATGTGGCTATCATACAGAACTACAAATGCCTGTCTCAAGCTTCACGTCACTCACCAGGGCCATGATGATCTGGACGAGATTGCCGACTGCTGAATGAAGGCTAAATTTAGTAAATCATAAATTGGTTAAAAAAAAAAAAAAATGTTAACTGTCTTGGCCAATACATTTACACACTACCCTGTTTTCTAGCTAACTAGCTCATGGTTAGCTAGTTAGCAACATTAGTCTGGCTAGATGGCTACATTAGCCGTCTATTTGTCTAGCCATTTAAATACATGAAAAATTCATAAAAACAAGTTTAGCTTTCTTTGGCTTTTATAAAGCAACACTAGTTTGCTACTAGTTAACTAGCTATCTAAGATGGTGAACGTAGGCATACTTTTAATTATTTTTCAATAGAATGAGATATACACACATATACCCACAGTACCAGTCAAAAGTACACACACAGCACATTCAGAAAGTATTCAGACCCCTTGACTTTTTCCACATTTTTTACATTACAGCCTTATTCTAAAATGGATTAAACAAACTAAATCTACACACAATACCCCATAATGACAAAGTGAACAGGTTTTTAGAAAATGTTGCTAATTTGTACTTTTTTCAAAACAGAAATACCTTAATTACACAAGTATTGCCTTTGTTTTGGACTCAAAATTGAGCTCAGGTGCATCCTGTTTCCATTGATCATCCTTGATGTTTCTATAACTTGATTGGAGTCCACCTGTGGTAAATTCAATTGATTGGACATGATTTGGAAAGGCACACACCTGTCTATATAAGGTCCCACAGTTGACAGTGCATGTCAGAGCAAAAACCAAGCCATGAGGTCGAAGGAATTGTACGTTGAGCTCAGAGACAGGATTGTGTCGATGCACAGATCAGGGGAAGGGTACCAAAAAATGTCTGCAGAATTGAAGGTCCCAAGAACACAGTGGCCTCCATCAATGCCATCCTCCTCTCTTTCATGTTGACGAAACGGTCTATATGACTCTGTCGTACAGCACATGCTTTTATTTTTTGTTGTCCTAGGCTACCTGGCTAAAATGCTTGCTCGCTAGCCTAACTTCCATTCATGGGCAATGTTAGCTAGTTAACGTTAGCCTTCTACATCTAGCAACATGTTGAACTTCCATCCTCTCAGGCCAGGGGCACAACAATGTATGAATTATTGGTTGGATCAGAATCACCATTATAATCATTGGCCAGTACGGAGAATTAAGTAAAACCACAAGTCCAAATCCCTATCTCCATACATGGCTAATTGGCCACTTTTTTTGCAGCCATGAATACACGTCACTGCCGAAATGCCACGTGCGTCCACTTATATCAGTGCATTCGTAACAACCTAATCATTACGAAATTTATATTATATCAAATAAGCCTCGCGTAGCAAATTATCAATTACATTTTTGGTTGACCAAGTTCGACACTCTCTCATTGACCTCTATACAAAAATTCGTCACTTGGGGCTAATTTTCCCGGACAGATTTTGGGCAGAGTCAAACCTCTCGCTTAGCTTTTTCCTCTCTGGCGCAAGTCGGACAATTTTTATCCCCGTAATGAAACACACTTTGAAAGGCCACCGATTTAACAAGAGTGATCAACTCGTATGAGCCCAGGATGTCCCTTTCCCTTGGACTAATCTGAATACACCCCTGCTGAACTCCGCCCATGTTGAGCTTGCGTCATCAAAAATCGCCAGTCAGCGCTGAACTTTTGACGTGAAGAATGTGTTCACCATAATAAATGCTGTGCTAAAAACAAGTGACAACAAGGTGGCTGTGTGAAACTGGCGTTTGTATTATTTTCAACAAATATTGGTGTAGTCAGCAAGTGTCTGTCGGCATTGTAAAAAATAATAATTGTGGAAGGAATAAGGAAAGAGCGAGGGAAAATTTAGCAGAATAAGGTACGTGTTCGCCAGCAAGCCAACACCACTGTTTCGCACACAAACGGTCTACTCCTAGACGGTCTTGTTGCTAGCTCGTGTGCACACAATGCATACAGCTGTTTCTGGTGCGGAACACCAACAGTGAACTGATTGTATCCAAAGTTATACTAGTTAGCTAACTATACAGCCCATATTTATGGATAGTTGGTAGTGTAGCTAATAGGGATATTTCACGTCTGCAGAGTCTAACGAAGATAGTTAACTAGCTAGCTAATATACAATATCTAGCAAGGTACCGATGACTAACCAGTGTCAGTAGTTAGCTCGCTAAATCACCACAAAACACCTGTGTGTACGTTAGCTTGTCATCCTGATGTAGCTAACTAACAAGCTATATATTTCAGAAACAGTAAGTGGCTAGCTGAGGAAAACAACTCCGTTCTCTAATATCGAGGCTGAGTTGAGTTTTGATGACTGGATTTGCTAGTAACAACATTGAGTCGCCATCAACTGATTCTTGTAAAAATGTCAATTCTGAAAACGCTTACCTATGTATGTCCTGTTCAACTGCGTTCCTTCCGCGGCGTGCTGAAATTCATACTTCTAATAACGACTTTTTCCTTGTTGCTCGTACTACGTAAACTGAGATTCAATTGGGTCCGTTAAATGTTTAGGGTAGGGACGTCCCAAGGACTCCAGATAGCACGGACCCAATTTAATCTCAGGAGGGAAAAAGTCGGTTGTATTAGCTAAAAGTTTTTATTAGAAGTATGAATCTTAGTACCCCGTGTAAGGACCGCAGTTGTACAGGACCAACAGGTACATGTAAGCGTTTTCAGAATTGACATTTTTACAATAATCGACTGATGGTGGTGACTGTGTTGTTGCAAGCAAATCCCGCGACCAGTCACCAAAACTATACTCCGCCTCGATATAAGAGAACAGAGTTGAGGGTTCCTCAACTAGTAGCTAGCTGACATTAGTTATACAGGTCAGGCTAGCTAGTAGCTACTGCACAATGGTTCTGGTTTCTAGCATCGTGCTCAAGGCCATGACCAAATCACCCGTTGACTGTTAGTCCCCAGGGACCTGTATAGCTGAATCGGTTCTGAACTGGAGCCAACATAAAGGTCCCTTTTGAGTCACTGGTTGCAACTGGAGAGGAAGTCATGGTTTGTGAGCATAGATGATCATGCATTAATTATATTTTATTTGAGGAGTAGGCCAAATCCGTAAGCTAGTGACAGTGACTATATGCTAAAAAAGCTGCATTGGTGCATGCAAGAGGTTGGAGTAGGGAATCAATCTAGCTAGCCCATATCAACATTTACAATGGCAGGCGACTCCCTCCTCTTGCATGCACCAATGCAGTTTTGTTTGCTCATTCTCTCTAGACCCCAAATAAAGTCGAGTTGATTACATAATTTGTTCTGTGTGTCAGGCCAGACCATGGCGTCGGCATCTGCCAGTGTGGATTCCAAGGCAGAGCTGACCGCACTGCTGGAGCAGTGGGAGAGGGAGCAGCAGGCCAGCACACCAGACCTGGTCAACATCCTGACCAAGTGAGTGTGTGTAATACAGGAGGATTATTGTTGGTAACACCAGTGGATATTATGTGAAGTAACATCAGTGAATGTTATGGGAAGTTTCTATTTGGGTTGACGTTATTTATTCAGGCCACATGTTACTTGATATTTTTAAGTCTCTGAACATTAAGGAATATGTGGTTGTCTGTTTTTGAATATATCATGGGTTTTCTTTTCCTCAGGGTTTCAGAGCTGGTGGAGAGGGAGACTGAGGAATATCACAAAGCTGATCCGGATCCTTTTGATGACAGGCACCCTGGTAAGATGATGGATTTATGTTGTGTGTAGTCATAACTATAGTATTAACAATAGCAACAGTGATAGTTGTTGACATTCTGTAGGTTTTTCTAATTCTCCCCACCTCTTGCCACTTAGGGAGAGCGGATCCAGAATGCATCTTGGGTCAGCTGCTAAAGATCATGTTCAAAAATGATGACTTTGTGAATGCTGTAAGACCTGAACTTTTTTAGTAGTATTTTTCCCCACACACATTTACAGAATGGTATTAGTTCAAATTTGAATTGTTATTTGAATTCCTGTTTTTTTCCAGCTCGTTAATAGTTATGTGATGACCAGCAGAGAACTCACACTCAACACGGCAGCCTGTCGCCTGCTGCAGAACATCATGCCTGGGTTGGAGACCGCTGTGGTCTTTCAGGAGAAGGTAGGATATAACCTAGACATGTTTGTATATTTTGTTAGCTATAATATGCAACTGATTCAAATATTCAATCGTCTTTGCCGTTATGCCTCTGTTTGTGTGTGTACATGACAGGATGGCATAGTGGAGAGGCTGTTTAAATGGGTCCAGGAGGCTGAGCAGCCCCTGATGATCTATGCTACGGGCCTGCTTGCTGGAGCAATGGAGAACCAGGACATCGCTGCCAACTACAGGGAGGAGAACTCTGTTGTGGTCAGTGGCAACACCCTACTAACAGATGTTTTTTGTTAAGCCTCTGAGAAGGTTTAACAACATCAACATAAGCTCTTGAGTAAATACTGTAATGTGGGGTCAGTTTAATTTAGCCCTGTCACTACAAGTGGGCGCCAGGCTGGCCATAATCGGTATCTGTGAATGATGCTAGATGCATCTTTCTCGCTTTAGGTGCCTCTGATGCTGCAGCGGCTACGCGAGCTGCAGGCCAAGGACACTGAGAACCGGAAGGAGTTTAAACGGCCCAGTCCCAGGAAGACCCTGGGGGAACCTCTCCTTCCTCTGGATGAGGAGACGGTTGACGGGGGCATCGAGGACACCCCCTTCCCCCCGGGGAATAATGGCATGGAGAGGGATGAGAAGGGACCAGATGAGGACCGAGTGGAGATCCCCAGCCACAAGTCTGACAACGAGATCTCCTTCCACCTCAACTACCTTAACCACACCCACAAGACCAGCAGCTGCGCCAACTTGGCTGTCAAAGGCCTGATGAAGCCTGTGTCTGCCGCACCGTCTCTGTCCCACCGGGACTTCCCCGACGGCAGGGCGGAGGGCAGCAGTCACCTCAAGAGGAGAGCGGAGAGGGAGAACGGACGGAAGGTGAAACAGAAACTGAACTTCTCCCTGCCGGACCCGGAGAGGAACTTCAGCGAGCTGTCCAACAGCAGCTGGTCTGAGATGAGCCCCTGGGTGATTGGGAACAACTATCACCTTTACCCTCTGACCCCAGAGATGGAGCAGAGGCTCATCCTGCAGTACCTCACCCCTCTGGGAGAGTACCAGGAGGTTAGTGTCTGCTACATAAACCTACCAGCAGATGTCAGTCTTCTCAAACTCCCTTATAAGAGCTAGTGCTGTATTCGTTGAAGACAATATACCATAAATGTCTGTGTAGACTGGCAGACAGACGAGTAGTACTCTGTATACATTTTTTATTTCTTTGTATTCATTTCTGTCTTTCAGCTTCTGGCTGTCTTCATGCAGATGAGAGCCTGTGAGCTGCTCATCCATTACATGGACCTGAAGCAGACCAACGATGTACAGCTCACCTTTGAGGCTCTCAATGTAACCGTTCTACAACTGACCTATAATGCATCTCAATTGTTTAAAGAGGAGCATCCCAGCCTTATCCTATGCTTCTCATTCGCTACCTGTAGTACCTGGCCTCCCTGCTCCTGCATAAGAAGTTTGCCGCTCAGTTTGTGGCCCATGGAGGGGTTCAGAAGCTGCTGGAGATCCCCAAGCCTTCCATGGCCGCCACAGGGGTGTCTCTGTGCCTCTACTACCTGGCCTACAACCAGGACGCCATGGAGAGGGTAGGACACACACAAACACACACACTGCATAAAGATCAACGGTTCATAGAAGTTGTGACCTGTGGTACATGGGTGTAACATGATTTACTTCCATGTAAATGTGTAAGTCAATACCAAATGTGTGTGTTCATGTGTCCCAATTAAATGTGTCTTTGTTACCCCTAGGTGTGTATGCTGCCCCACTCCATTCTGTCTGACGTGGTGAGCTACACTCTGTGGCTGTTGGAGTGTTCCCACGCCTCGGGCTGCTGCCACGCCACCATGTTCTTCTCCATCTCCTTCTCCTTCCGTGCGGTGCTGGAGCTCTTCGACAGGCAGGACGGCCTCCGACGCATGGTCAACCTGGTAGGAGGACCTGTCTGGTTTAGTCATGCTTCTGTTTCATCCAGTTGTCACTACGACCGGGTTTCTTAATCCTGGTGAAAACCACTATTGGTATTTCACTGTCTCCAGATCAGTTCTCTGAACGTCCTCTGTATTGGAGTGTGTATTAGACTGCTGTTCATTTTGTATTCTACTGTCTCCAGATCAGCACGTTGGAGATCCTAAACCCTGAGGACCAGGGGGCCCTGCTGAGTGATGACCAGATCTTCTCCAGCAGGCAGACTGCCAAGCACACCTGCATGGCCCTGCGCAGGTATTTCGAGGCCCAGTTGGCAATCAAGATGGAGCAGGTCAAGCAGTCCCTGCAGCGGACTGAAGGGGGTGCTCCCATTCACCCACAGCCTTACTACAAGGTAAGAGGAACAGGCCTTTCCATGTGAGTTGGGAGATTGTGAAAATTGAAATGATTGTCTTGGGTCCTCTTTCAATTAATGAAATTGAATTTCAATTAACTTTCTGAATTGAAATGGAATTGACCCCATCCCCCTGCAACCCATCATCACAGATGAACCTTGATGATGTTTTTCCTTCAGTGATGCAGCATTCTCTTTCTGTTCCCCAGGCGTGTAGTTACACCCACGAGCAGGTGGTGGAGATGATGGAGTTCCTGATCGAGTACGGCCCAGTCAGGCTGTACTGGGAGCCTGCAGAGGTTTTCCATAAGCTCTCCTGTGTGCAGCTCCTCCTGCAGCTCATCTCCATCGCCTGTGACTGGAGGACCTACTACGGCAGGTAAGGACAGAAAAAAAAAAATGCAACCTTCCTTCTCTTTCAAGGACTGATGAGAAGGACGGAGTTATTTATCAACCCTCTCTGTTCTATATGAAGATACACCTCTATTCATTATGGAGAACATTTGTTCTCCATAATTCACAAATTCAAGTGAATACAGAGTTGTACTGTGTGACTATTTTCCCCCCTGTGTTGTTTTGTCCTCAAGGAGTGACACAGTGCGTTATGCCCTGGACATACTGAGCATCCTGACAGTGGTCCCTAAGACCCAGCTGCTGATGGCGGAGCCTGTGGCCGTGCTGGATGGGGAGGGGGGCAACGCCATCTCCACCGTGGGTATGTTACACTGCCCTGCCCTGCCCTGTCATTATTATTATTATTATTATTAAAGTTGCACGATATGAGCAAAAAAATCAGGTGGGCTAGTACAACGTTGGAACATCTGTTTTAGCTGCACTCAGTTCATTGTTGAATCAACTGTATGCATTGACTGCACACGAGCTGGCTATAAGACCGTCTAGGAGTAGACAATTTGTGTGCGAAACAGTGTTGTTGGCTTGCCAGCTAGCTAAGGGGCAAGGCTTGGTTTGTGTGGGAAGCAGCCACAAGGGGAGTGAGACGACAACAGCTGAGTAAACTATAAAAACAGACGTTACATGCAGCTAATTAGTGTTTCAAAATATTGCACGCGATATGGATCTCTTGCTATATGGATATTGCACTTGTCAATATACACTGAGTGTACAAAACATTAGGAACACCTTCCTAATATTGAGTTACACCCCCTATTGCCTTCAGAACAGCCTCAATTCGTCAGGGCATGGACTCTACAACGTGTCGAAAGCATTCCACAGGTATGCTGGCCCATGATGACTCCAATGCTTCCCACAGTTGTCAAGTTGGCTGGATGTCCTTTGGGTGTTGGGCCATTCTTGATACACATGGGAAACTGTTGTGTGAAAAACCCAGCAGCATTGCAGTTTTTGACACATTCAAACCAGTGCGCCTGGCACCTACTACCATACCCTGTTCAAAGACACTTACATCTTTTATCTTGCCCATTCACCCTCTAAAGGTCACACATACACAATCCATGTCTCAATTGTCTCAAGGCTTAAAAATCCTTATTGAACCTGTCTCCTCCCCTTCATCTACACCGATTTGGAGTGGATTTAACAAGTGACATCAATAAGAGATCATAGCATTTACCTGGTCAGTCTGTCATGGAAGGAGCAGGTGTTCCTAATGTTTTGTACACTCTGTGTTTAGCCTACCTGTCATGGCTTTTTATTTACACAACCCCATATATCCAGCAGACCAGTACTCTTGGCTTTGGGTTCTAATCTTAATGTTCTGTTGTTCCTCAGGTATGAGTGTAGTCCTGGTGGTGGCAGAGGGAGAGGTGTTTGTGAACGACGCCGAGATCCAGAAGTCGGCTCTGCAGGTGGTCATCAACTGTGTGTGCGCTCCGGATAAACGCATGTCCAGCATCGGCAAGTTCATCTCCGGCACGCCCCATAGATGTCTACCCCAGACCACCAAGAGCAGCGAGAGCGTGCTCACCAAGATGTGGAACGTGGTGCAGTCCAACAACGGCATCAAGGTGAAAATATTGATTTCAGAATTGTCTATTGATGGATCTTACGCTGGTATGTTTTTAGGCACTACCGGTCTCATAGTTCTGCCATCTCCCTGTAGGTACTGTTGTCCCTGCTGACGGTGAAGATGCCCATCACAGATGCGGATCAGATTCGGACCCTGGCCTGTAAGGCCCTGGTGGGTCTGTCCCGCTCCAGCTCAGTCAGACAGATTATCAGCAAGCTGCCTCTCTTCAGCAGCGGACACATCCAGCAGCTTATGAAGGAGCCTGTGCTCCAGGACAAACGCAGCGAACACGTCAAGTTCTGCAAGTTTGCGGCGGAGCTAATCAAGCGGGTGTCTGGTAAACCCCTCATGATCGGGACGGATGTCTCCCTGGCCTGGCTGCAGAGGGCCAACGTGGTGGCCCAGTCCAGGATCTCCTTCCCTGAAAAGGAGCTACTGCTGTTGATCCGGAACCACCTGGTGGTCAAGGGTCTGCATGACACTGCCACCACGCTCACCAAGGAGGCTGACCTCCCCATGGCCATCCTCCCCCACCCATCTTCCTCAGCTTTGCTTCCTGTCGTTGTTCCCCCTCCCCCTGCCTCTCCCGCCCCTGCCCTCCCCCGGACCCCTCGGCTGGCCAATGGGGTCGCAGCACGGTTGGCGAGCCACGGCTCTCATCCGTCCGTGCCGTTGTCAGTTCACCCCCAGCCTCGTCCCTCGACGTCGCAACTCCTCACGGTCCCTCCGGCCGCCCCTCCCCTGTTGACCCCTCACCAAAGCAACGGCTCTCCCCTGATCGGACGGATCGTGTTCACGCGAGAGCGCCCGTCGCCGTGCCCCGTGCCTGCCATCTGTAAGAAGCCGCGGGTGCTGAGGCAGAAGTCAGACTACGGTGCCTTCAGCCAGAGTCCAGCCATGAAGAAACAGCTGGACAGACACCTGCCCTCTCCCCCCGCCCTGGACAGCATCATCACAGAGTACCTGAGGGAGCAGCACGCCCGCTGCAAGAACCCTGTCACCACCTGCCCCCCCTTCTCCCTCTTCACCCCCCACCAGTGCCCCGAGCCCAAGCAGAGGCGCCAGGCCCCAACCAACTTCACCTCCCGACACACACGCAGGGTCGTCTACCCAAAATACGGAGGGGTAGACGGGGGCTGCTTCGACAGACACCTCATCTTTAGCAGGTATGATTTGTTCCCACTACACTGGGGACTCGGCACAAAGTCCTTGCCTTTTAGGCTGAGGTGGACCTTGGGTGAATATTTTTTCCCTTTTTTTTTTCTTTTTTCCCCCCCTTTTTTTTTTTTCTTCTCTCCCCCCCAGGTTCCGGCCCATCTCTGTGTTCAGGGAGGCAGACGAGGATGAGAGTGGGTTCATGTGTTGTGCCTTCTCTGCCCGTGAGCGCTTCCTGATGCTGGGGACGTGTACGGGCCAGCTCAAACTCTACAACGTGTTCACAGGCCAGGAGGAGGCTAGTTACAGCTGTCACAGCTCTGCCATCACACACCTAGAGCCATCACGGGTCAGTGGGACACATGTACAAATCTACCCATCTTGTGGATATCTAAAACATAGTATTTGAATGAAACCTTTATTCTTGTCTTTTGTCATCAGGATGGCTCTCTGTTGTTGACGTCAGCATCATGGAGTTATCCTCTGTCTGCACTGTGGGGCATGAAGTCAGTGTTCATCATGAAGTAAGTGTGACTCGATTAGAAGACTAACCCTGGCCCAGTCAAATCAATACAGTTGGTTATTGCTTTCAATGGGGATGACTGCTCTACCCATTCCCTTTCTATGGTTCATTCTACTGGTTCTGTGTCTATGGTCCTCAGAGCAGGGAGCTGCTGACAGGTTATTGAATTATGCACACTAACTGAACTGACTTAGGGCTGGAATCTTCACTTCATAGAACACTGACAGTGTAGTGGGGCCACAGTTTAACAAAAGCAACATTGGGGCTTTTGTGATTTTAGCTAGAACAACATTAGACCATCATTGCTTAACCAAAATGTATTTATCAATATGAACTGAAGTCAGAGGTTGTAAGGATTGCCTGGGAATTTGTATTTTTTATTTGTAGATGTTTGAATTGATCTCTATATAATTAGTTTTGCCTTTTCTTTCCAGGCATTCCTTCTTAGATGATCATAATGTGGAGTTCAGTAAACTTTCACAAGACCGAGTCATTGGCACAAAGGAACACATAGCTCATGTAAGTCTTCTTTCCCAACATCTAAAGGTTAAACTGAACAACCATGTATACCAAACATTAGGAACACCTTCCTAATATTGAGTTGCACCCCCACATGTTGACTCCAATGCTTCCCACAGTTGTGTCAAGTTGGATGGATGTCCTTTGGGTGGGGGACCGTTCTTGATACACACAGGAAACGGTTGAGCGTGGAAAAACCCAGCAGCGTTGCAGTTCTTGACACAAACCGATGCGCCTGGCACCTACTACCATACACCGTTCAAAGGCACTTAAATCTTTCCCATTCACTCTGAATTGCACACACACAATCCATGTCTCAAGGCTTAAAAATCATTCTTGAACCTGTCTCCTCCCCTGCATTGAAGTGGATTTAACAAGTGACATCAATAAGGGATCATAGCTTTCACATGGATTCACCTGGTCAGTCTGTCATGGAAAGAGCAGGTGTTCTTAATGTTTTGTATACTCAGTGTATAAGCTGAAATCATGTCATCGTCTTTGGGTCTCAGATCTACGACATCCAGACAGGGCAGAAGACCCTTACCCTCCACTACCCGGACCTGGCCAACAACTACAAGAGGAACTGTGCGACCTTTAACCCCACCGACGACCTGGTACTGAACGACGGTGTGCTGTGGGACGTGCGCTCAGCTCAGGCCATCCACAAGTTTGACAAGTTCAACATGAACATCAGCGGAGTGTTCCACCCCAACGGCCTGGAGGTCATTGTCAACACTGAGATTGTATCCTTTACTCACTTACTGTTTTACTTATTGTATTTGTAAAGAGTATTTCCTGTGCTCAGTTGATGGTACTTAGCCTATATCAGTTGGTCAGATGTTTTCAGACCTCAAAAGTGGCCTAATTTCAAGATGAGTTTGTGTCCCATGCCATCTCTTGTGTAGATCCAGCAAAATGCCCCAACCCCAAATGAATTGGAAAAAATAGTAATTACATTATACTGAAAGTGATGTGACTGTGTGATTCCTTAATGAGTGTGTCAGTGGGACCTGCGGACCTTCCACCTGCTCCACACAGTGCCAGCTCTGGACCAGTGCAGGATCGTCTTCAACAACAACGGCACGGTCATCTACGGAGGTGAGGACTGACCTCAGTGCATGATGGGAAATAGAGTACAGTATGCTGTGGTTGCGAGACTAATCAAATTTCACCTAGTGCTAAACAGCTAGCACTTTTTAAGATGTGTGTAAAAAGGTGAGTGCTTGTGGGGTTGTGTGTTCATGAAGTGTGAAAGGTGCATGTAGAGGTGTGTGTTTGATGCCACACGGCCCCGCTGAACCATATGGCCAGGAGGATGTGCCCTGAGCTGGCAGAGGAGAGCACCAGCTGGTTCACACCACCTCACAGCCAGAGCCACAGGGAGGCCATGATGGATCCACCCACATCCATATCACTCTAACGTCTCAGTAGCCAGAGCCATGTGGAGGCCATGATGGATCCACCCACAGCAGTGTCGCTCTAACGTCTCAGTAGCCAGAGCCATGTGGAGGCCATGATGGATCCACCCACAGCAGTGTCACTCTAGCAGCAGGATCACTCTTATCATACTATCTATTTATCCACCCATACGTACATCCATGTGGTATGTACGTATGCAACTAGTGTTATATTGCCATCGTGGATCCTCGCATTACCAAAAAGCATGAAATTTTTCCCAAATTCAGTTTTATCCGTTTTAGTTTTTCCAAGTTTCTGTTTTTCCCCAGAGTTTTTTTTGGTAATCTTTTCACATCTCACTTTTTAATAGAACATCCAATTTTGTTGTTTTTCTAAGTCCACAACAATGCTTTAACCACATCAGGAGACTACTTTTGAGGTCTGGGATTATTTATTTTTTGGGGGGGTATAGTTACCCTTTTAATGTACCTGAGCATCCGATGGAGACCATGTGATTGCAGAGTTTGCTAAATTACCTCTGGATTGATGCAAATGAGCATGATATCATTCTGCTAGATAGGTATAGGCTACTTTGTAGTTAACATTTCATGGATAATTTTTTTTTGGGGAAAGCCTTTACATCTACAAAGTGTAGACTAGACATACGCACGCACGCCACACAACACACACAGACGGGCATTCATGTGCCGTTTCCGAAAGTTGCTGGAAAATACGAATCACTGATGCATTTTGTTCATGTCTTATGATTAACTTGGGCAAATGTAATGTGTTTTCTAATTAGTTCAATACATTTAGTTGATTTCCTACGAAGTTCAATACATTTTGGAACATTGTTGAATTCCGTTCTGTCTAGATCCTGTAATACCCTCCGTGTTTTCCACAACTTGGCCCTACGGTACCAGAATTGAACAATGCCATCTATTTTCAAGGAGAATTTTTCAATTATTTCATAGGAATTCCAATTCAGTTCTTGGCTTGACTGAATAGAAATGGAATTGACCACAATCCTGTTACCTAGGGCCATGTGGATACCATGAAGGCTCTGCCCACCCACCCACCCACACACCCACACCACTCTTATTAGTAGCCAGAACCATGGGTCCATGACCATCGGTCTGGCCATTTAATCTGGCCTCCCAGCTTTCCTTCTACTGATGCAATATCTACTGATGTAACTGGTATCCTTATTGACTGTGAAAATAATTGTAGCCATCCATACACCTCTATTGCTTTTTCTTTGTATATGAAGCACACCTATGGATTTGCTCTAGTTGTGGCGTGTACAGAAAACGTAACCCTACTGTTGTTTTTCCAGCGATGCTACAGGCTGATAATGAGGATGACATGATAGAAATGCAGATGAAGACTCCCTTTGGCTCCTCCTTCAGGACGTTCAACGCCACCGACTACAAACCCATTGGTAAGACTGCTCTAAGACACACTGTCACAACAGTCCCAAGGCCTTGTATTTATCAGGAGTAGACTATCCAGTTTTAAATTGCAACCCAGGCGTGACTCACCAGTGGCTCCTGTCCTGACCCACCATCTGGGAAACACTTACAGCTTCATGCTTTGGAAATGGAGTAGGATTAGCTTTTTTCTTATGTATAAAGCAAATTGACTCCATCTAAAATAGATTATTCTTTCTGTATCAACTACTTTCAATATTGTGAAGTCGTATGAGAGGTTTATTATTTCCCCCCAGCCACCATCGACGTGAAGAGGAATATCTTTGACCTCTGCACGGATACTAAGGACTGCTACCTGGCTGTGATTGAGGTGCATCTTCTGTCATCTGTTAGATAACTCGATAAAGCTGCAAGTGATTGAATCACATACTCCGCTTTGCACAGTCAGATATTGAGTTTAGTGGTGGTGGTGGGGCTTAGTAGTATTGAGACATACAACTGTTGTCAGACTTTCTGTGTTTCCCCTCCAGAACCAGGACTCGGTCAACACTGACACGGTGTGCAGATTGTACGAGGTGGGACGCCAGAGACTGGCTGAGGAGGAGGAGGAGGATGAGGAAGATCAGGTAAAATACCCCTTCCCTTCACAAAGCGCCACTCTTGTGTTATGTTGGTTGATAATCCATCAAATAACCAATCGCTAACATTGGATGATTGGTTGGTTGTGGCAGATTATATGTAATACAGCCTAAATATCGAAATATAAGATCTGGCTGTTCTGGAACACTTGTCCCCTATCAGGAGGATGAAGAGGAGGATGATGATGATGATGATGATGACGAGGATGACTCTGATGACGACCACGACACGGACCCGCTGATCGCCGAGCTGGAAAACGATAACGGAGACGAGGACGAGGAAGACGGGAACAATGACGATGAAGAGGTAGCTCGTCTGCTTGAGCGGGACGGTGAGGAGGATGATGATGATGATGATGACTCGGATGACGATGAGGAAGATGGGGACCTTGCCCTTGATAACAGTGAGTAACAGTTGTGTCAGTGTGTCCCTCAGCCACCCACACATCTAGGCATTGGATGAAGGACCGGCAAGGTTGAAGTTTGTGGTAACGTTGAACTTAAACCTTCTGCCATAAGGGCTAGGATACATCACTTTTTTAAAGTAATGACATAAAACAGTGGTATTCAACTCTTACCCTATGAGGTCCAGCACCTTCTGGTTTTCTGTTCTACCTGATAATTAATTGCAACCACCTGGTGTGCCAGGTCTAAATCTGTGATTTAGAGGGGAACAATGAAAAAACGCAGTGGAACTGGCTTCGAAGGTCCAGAGTTGAGTTTAAGAGACATAGAAGATGTCATAACCATTTATGTTATTAATAGAATACGTTATTGTCCATTCAGGATGGAAATGTTCCTTTGGCATTACCGTAAAAAAAGGATCCCATACACAAACACATTCACATCATACACATGAAAGCAGTCAGTTCTGCATACACGAACACATACAGGTTTTTTTTCTGGATCAAAATGGGGTGTAGGTGGTGTGCGTGGCCATTGGACTCAAACATTATAACAAAATCAATGGGGGCCCCATGCCATGCCAGAAATACTCCTGAATGCATCATTTTTTGAATTTTAGAATCTCCCTGACTGTCTAGCTTTTATTTTGGTGATTGTAAGTTCTCAAATATCTTATTTAAAAAGATAGGTCCATTTAGGGCTGTTGCAGTGACCATATTACTGCCACACCGGCATGGTAATCACCTTTTATGCACTCTGGACATGCTTTGGTAGTACCCAACTTGCCTCTACCATCGGGTCCTAATGGCCTGGTACTCAGGGCTCTATTGTAATATAATAATAATATGCCATTTAGCAGACGCTTTTATCCAAAGCGACTTACAGTCATGTGTGCATACATTTTTACGTATGGGTGGTCCCGGGGATCGAACCCACTACCCTGGTGTTACAAGCGCCATGCTCTACCAATTGAGCTACAGAGAACCACCCATAACCACTCTGACATCAATGCAAATGCAATCGAAAATCCCATCAAACACATATCATCAAAATAGTAGGCCTATAGTACTTTTAAAACTCACCTCACTGTGATGAATCAATTTGAAGACAGAAGTTCAACAGCAGGTTGAAACAGTGTAAAATATGGTTGTTGTGGATGTTGTTTCCAAGCCTAATACAATGAAATGGACAGCGCTTTCTATGGTGATGATTAATTCAAAACATCCATATACATATTAGAGTATACGCATAGGCTTATGAGCCCAAGCTAAAATGATTTAATAAAACTGAATTAAAATGATAATTGTGCCATTACACAATACATAGCCTACCACATTTTCCGCATAAAACAAAACAGATTTTAGATGTCTTTGGTACATAATTAGTCTAGCTTTTGAGTGTGGACTGTATTATTATGCATTCTGGGAGGGCTGGTTACCTTATGCTACACTACAATGTCTATCCATGACACTGGGAGAGAATGTATAGCCCTAGGCGATGCTGTCGGTTCATTGATTTTACACAGCGGCTTACAGTTAGCCTAGAATTAGAGAATTAGTATTTTTTTTGAATATATTTTCGTTTTTTTAATATTTCAGTAATTGGGTGACCTTACCTTTAGCTATAACAGAAGATCTCACCACCATGCGTTTCCATCTCCTCCGTTCTCTCGTTTATTCCTTTCTCGAGCACGTAGACGGGCTGTCAACACTTTAGTGAAATGTTTCGTTGCGAAAACATGTTACTATCGATGTTCCCGAACAGATTTCACTTGGTTTCCCAAATTAAGCTACTGGGTAGCTGCAGCAACAAGGTTGGAGAGCCCATGGCATACAGAGTTTGGGCGGAATATCACCTGTCGGGCAGCGAGAGCGTGCTCCTCAAACAGTGGTTGATGCATGGAGTGAAATAAGTGTTTTTGTATTTATTTCTCAGCTGCTCATATTAATCACATGCTCCGCTATTAAACCGATGTAGCCTACAAAACGGACCTGGCGGGACAGTTTGCGGCCTCCATTCGCTATTCGAGTGCATACAGATGACATGTCTTTTTTCCCCTGTTCCTGTTTCTGCACATTTGATGAATGGGCCATTTTAAATAGAAACTCATTTTTACATATTAGTAAAGACACAAGATTTAAATTGATAATAGTCTGATGGGTGAAAATATGATCACTTGATGAGAGAACAGCTGTGCAGCCTGAGGCAAGCTTTTCAAATAATAGCCTATAGTCAGTCACACCATGCAGCCCATATGTTTCGATTTCGAAGACATTAAGGTTTTTATCATTCACAACTAAAGTTGCCAAATAACTCTAAATCTAGCATTTAGAAACTGTTTAAAAAAATCACTTTTGAGCTCAACATACAGTAGCCACTTCATATGCGCACTCGCTCAGTAATGGGAAAAATATCATTTCTATTTTATTCAGCTAAGTTAAATTATATTTTTCTTACAATAAAATCATATAATGGCACGGGACTAATAAACATATCTTGTCTGCTAAATGAAAAAGGCTATGGCATGGTACAAAGCCAGATAACTAACATATAGTAGGCCAACTCATATGCTGTTCTTCTGAAATACATTTTCTTCATATCATAATGTTTCTTTAGACCTGACTAAAATAAATAATGGATTTATTGTGATGGTGTGTATTAAATTGCTTTATTAGACTTTTTTAAAGGTGGGCATCAGCAGCTTGCATGCATAGAGGCCTGGAGATGCTAAATGTGTTTATGTTAATTAACGATCAGTTACCGTGAGAACAGCATACTTTTGCATGACAATAACCGGCTGACAGAATTTCATGACCGCCACAGCCCAGTCCATTTATCTTTTCTATATACAGTTGAAGTCGAAGTTTACATACACTTAGGTTGGAGTCATTTAAAACTTGTTTTTCAACTACTCCACAAATTTCTTGTTAACAAACTATCGTTTTGGCAAGTCGGTTAGGACATCTACTTTGTGCATGACACAAGTAATTTTTCCAACAATTGTTTATAGACAGATTATTTCACTTATAATTCACTGTATCACAATTCCAGTGGGTCAGAAGTTTACATACACTAAGTTGACTGTGCTTTTAAACAGCTTGGAAAATTCCAGAAAATGATGTCATGGCTTTAAAAGCTTCTGATAGGCTAATTGACATACTTTTATTCAATTGAAGGTGTACCTGTGGATGTATTTCAAGGACTACTTTTAAACTCAGTGCCCCTTTGCTTGACATCATGGGAAAATCAAAAGAAATCAGCCAAGACCTCAAAGAAAATTGTAGACCTCCACAAGTCTGGTTCATCCTTGGGAGCAATTTCCAAATGCCTGAAGGTACCACGTTCATCTGTACAAACAATAGTACGCAAGTATAAACACCATGGGACCATGCAGCCGTCATACTGCTCAGGAACTTTGGTGCAAAAAGTGCAAATCAATCCCAGAACAACAGCAAAGGACCTTGTGAAGATGCTGGAGGAAACAGGTACAAAAGTATCTATATCCACAGTAAAAACGAGTCCTATGTCGAAATAACCTGAAAGGCCGCTCAGCAAGGAAGAAGCCACTGCTCCAAAACAGCCATAAAAAAGACAGACTACGGTTTGCAACTGCACATGGGGACAAAGATTGTACTTTTTGAAGAAATGTCCTCTGGTCTGATTAAATAAAAATAGAACTGTTTGGCCATAATGACCATCGTTATGTTTGGAGGAAAAAGGGGGACACTTGCAAGCCGAACAACACCATCCCAACCGTGAAGCACGGGGGTGGCAGCATCATGCTGTGGGGGTGCTTTGCTGCAGGAGGGACTGGTGCACTTCACAAAATAGATGGCATCATGAGGAAGGAAAATTATGTGGATATATTGAAGCAACATCTCAAGACATCAGTCAGGAAGTTAAAGCTTGGTCGCAAATGGGTCTTCCAAATGGACAATGACCCAAAGCATACTTCCAAAGTTGTGGCAAAATGGCTTAAGGACAACAAAGTCAAGGTATTGGAGTGGCCATCACAAAGCCCTGGGGCAGAACTGAAAAAGTGTGCGAGCAAGGAGGCCTACAAACCTGACTCAGTTACACCAGCTCTGTCAGGAGGAATGGGCCAAAATTCACCCAACTTATTGTGGGAAGCTTGTGGAAGGCTACCCGAAACATTTGACCCAAGTTAAACAATTTAAAGGCAATGCTACCAAATACTAATTGAGTTTATGTAAACTTCTGACCCACTGGGAATGTGATGAAAGAAATAAAAGCTTAAATAAATAATTCTCTCTACTATTATTTTGACATTTCATATTCTTAAAATAAAGTGGTGATCCTAACTGACCTAAGACAGGGAATTTTTACTAGGATGTCAGGAATTGTGAAAAACTAAGTTTAAATGTATTTGGCTAAGGTGTATGTAAACTTCTGACTATATCTGGTTTTAGTGGTTTAAGGTTACACTGAAAACATTTTTCCATCCTGAAAATGGTACTTTACATTTTATTTTATTTTATGGATAAATAAATAAGTGCATATGTCAAGACATTTCATGTTGCATTTAGTAAACCCACAGCACAGGGGCATCCTAAAGCGATGGC